GGAAAAGTACCAGTTGTCATTGAGCAGAAACGGGAGCAGGAAGCATGTAAATATAAGAATAACCACTGCAACATATACAGAATATAAATAGATTATCAAATAATAGAGACTGATTACATCAAATATACTCAATATAAGTAATACAAAATAGAATTTGCCGTTCACTTATTACCTAAAATCTTTCTTTATTAAAACTCACTTCTGTGTTTTTAGTATGCTGAGTCTCAACTCTAAGGCGTTTTAATTGTGATGACTTAAACAAGATGAAAAAAGAGGCAGGGTACACCCTTTCTTCTAGTGCTCCAAACCGTTAATTCACGGTGTTTAATAATACCTGGACTTAGTAAAGTCTTTTAATTTAGTCCAATCTGTAAATGGTGCCACTTAAGAACATGGACACACGCTAGACTTGGTTTTATCTTATGATCTATCTGTGTGCATTGTATGTGTTAAAGATGCGTTTTTTTCCGACCATATGCCTATTTTATTTGATATTGCTTCTCTTAACGCCATTGCAAATTGGGCTGTGCCTGTTCGATATTATCGTGCCCTTCGTTCTGATACTGCCGAACAGTTTTATATTGTTTGACAATCTTATGTCATATTCTTCAGAGTTGCCTACCTCAAATGACTTACTTCTGTACTTTGATTTTGCTTGTAAATCTGCGCTGGATGTTGTTGCCCCATTGACACTAAGACAATGTAAATCCAAGACAAGGTTTTGGCTAACTGATTACACCTGAGAAATTAGAAAACAATGTAGGAGATGTGAAAGACAGCGGAAAAAAGACAGGCTGCATGTCTGTCTGGAAACCTTAAAAAGTAGTTGGAAAAGTTATCAGAAGGCGGTTAAAGCCGATAAACATGCCTATCTTTCTCAACTTATTTCGGCCAACTCACACAACCCCCGTGTTTCATATAATACTAAAAATTCCTTTGATGGTCATTTAAATAGGGTGGTAAAATCGTCTTTTTATCACCTCAGACGCCTATCGAAGGTCAAGCCTTTCCTTTCCAAACACAATTTGGAAACTGTTATTCATGCTTTTATCACCTCA